CTGGTGCGGGCTGGGACGCCCCTGCAGCCTCTCCCAGCGCAAGGTTGTGTTTGTCTCGACATCGCGCTGAAGTGTTCCTGCCGTCACTCCGCCGCGCTCACGGCTGGTGATGCTGTTCCCTGTTGGGTCTTGACGCGTCCTCGAAATATCCCTGTCCTGTCGTGATGGTCGTCGTGGCGCAGCCGCACTTCATTTATATCACGAGATCCTGGTGGTGACCACCGCGAAGGAAAGGACGCTGGGAAGGCATCGAGGTAGCTGTCTGCTCTGTTACAGGATCTCTGAATGCCACTACCTGGGACAACTCTGTGTGGCAGCAGGGCTTCGCTTTCGGGGTATTTCAGCATTTTGCATGAAGAGGTTTCTGTCTGGCCTGCCTGCCGTCCCGTCCAGGATGGGTCGGTCTTCACTCCCACCTTTGTTGGCGCACCAAAGGTGCTGCTTTTGTCTGTGCTGAAGCGTTACTTTGGCCTGTTATGGGGCTGATGTGATGCTACTCTGGCACGCTGCACCACGGTGCTGGTGTGCGCACGGGTCTCAGTCTTGGCGACATCCAGGAGCCATCACTGTCTCACAGATGGGGTTTGAACTGCAGAGTGTCTCTGCTGTGACACTGGAGCAGCGTGTGATCAGGGCACTGATTTCCCTGAGCAGTGCAGGAGGTGCTTGTCCTCTTAAATTTTTGCTCTCTCAGGTCCGTAGCTTACAGGATGAATCCATTTCCATCTGTACCGCTTTCCTCTGCCTACAGCTGCTGTCTGCAGAAAACTGACCCGTGTCAAGTAGTATGGACAAGGCAAAGGAATGTGGATCACTTCTCTCACTGAGTCTGAAACATGTGTTACACCTGCTCAGGAAGACACGGTGGTTATTAAAGTAGTGACGTTGGAGAGGGAAATCTTCTTTTTCCTCACTTACTTGCAAGAGTGGTTTCAGCCTGGAGGGTTTTCTCTGGCAGTTCTCCGGACAAACACGATTGGCCTTGCAGGGAAAAAGCTTTGTCAATGCAGAAAGCTCGTGCTCTGCCTCTGCCTGTGTTTTCTGAAACATGGCTGTTGCGTTGTCCCATGTGCTCAAAAACTTGAGTCCAGAATTAAGGAGGGAGTGCTGGAGTCATCCGGAAGTACAAACATGGCAGTGAGTGGTTGGTCAGCTTCTGTGTCAGTTTTGAGAGGAAGGTTACTCTGGTGCCTGAGAGCAGAGACTAGTGGAAGGAAAGCAGCTGCAGGGAAACTTGAAGTGAGATTAAAGAAGTTTAATCTCCCTTTTTCCTGCCGTGGCTAAATGGTCCGGGGACGGAGGAGAGATTTTCCAGCATCGTGCTGCACTGTCCAAATAAATGGAGTTCACCACTGTGGCCTTTCCTGGTGACCAAAGCTGTCATGAGCATCTACACCGTGGCCAAGAACCATTCCTGGTCCGGAGATACCCGGCAGCGCCTTGGTGTCGCTGCTGTCTTTCTGACGCAGGGAATGCTGTTGCGTTTTCAGCTTCTTGTGTGACATTCGGATTCGAAGTGTCAGACTACAGCTGCCTCACCTTCGAACGAGAGACCTCCACACCACGTGGCACCGGCAGTCAGTGTAATCAGGAGTATTCTCTCTGTCGTCATCTGCGTATTTAATCCAGACCCGCCTTTCTCGCCTGCCTCTTTGGCTTTGAACTCCTGCTTCTGTGGCCTTCTGGGTTTGTAAATAGTCTGAGGGATCACTCAGTTTCACATGTTTAAGTTTGGGTGTGGAATGGGCCATTTTCTTTGTGTGTCACTTGTTTCTTCTTTTCTCGGCCTAAACACAGCCGTGCTGGGTATCTTACACCGCAGTTCCCACTCGCTCTGATGGTACCATACTGCTTCGGGGAAATAAACTCGCAGTCAGTTACGGAGTTGTCATCCTGTCATACTGACTATTACTCTTCATTTCAGCGCCTGGTCATTAATACAAGATCTCCTTGCTCCTGAAGTATTCTTGACATCTTTTCAAGCCAGCCCATCCACTGCTGACAGTTTCAGTCTCTGTGTTCAAAGCCCTCTGCCTGCAGCTCCTGTTGATCCCCGTGCGAAGGAGGCGCAGTCAATACAGAGATCATTGTCTCGGGAGAGTTCTGCAGACTGCTCCAGACTAGAGGGAGAAGGTGTAGACCACACCCTTGTCCTTTCCATGGGACTGGGGCTGTTTGCTGGGAAGGATTTATCCAAGAGGGATAAAATCACACTCCCACAAGGCCCAACAAAGGGGCATTGACGCTTTCCCTGGTTATGAAGCCGTTTCCCGGTATGGCCATCCTCAAAATGGAGGCTGTCTGGATCCTTGCTGTCCCTTTCTCCTCTCGCTGTCCCGTGAACTCCTCCCTTTCCTGTTAGTGTGTGCGGTCACCGGGCTATGCCTGCAGCCAGACACTGTGGTCTCGGCTGGGTTATCTGGCTGCAGGTGACCAGGCGCTTGGCAGCGCACAGCCTGTGCTCCAGCTGACCAGAGCATCCTCTTGTCAACGGTTCTGGTAGAGGAAGGAGCAGGAATTCCACAGCTGCCTCCCAGGTCCCTCCCCTTCCTCCCTCTTGGTCCTTCTCTGGTGTGGGAATATCTTCTGCTCCCTTCCAGGCCAGCCGTTCTCGTGGTGGTAATTATACCTGGAAAGCATCTGCCTCTCTGTTGTTATGAACTTACAGTGTACGTGTTAATTCCTGAAGGCCCTGACTCGGAACCCAGAGCCAGGGGGGGCTTTTTTGGTGTATTTATTGTGAGGTGATACATTTTGATGTGAAGCTGTACTGTGCTTTCGTAAATAAGTTGAGGGAGGGTTGTGCTGAAGCCTTGCAGATGTCCTGGCTCCCACTGAGGGAGTGGGGAGTGATGGTGCACGGCTGAGGATCCTAAAAAGGTGTCGTTGGTGACCAGGGGACTGACACTATGGTTTTCTCCCACAGTCGGATGCTCTCGGTCACCCAGTGGCCCTGGTTAACTGCCTGCTTGCTCCCCACCTAGGCTGGCCTTGATGAGCAGCGTTTCCGTGCGCAGCAGCCCCAGGAGCAGCAGATGTTCTGGGTTGGTTCCCAGGTCTCAGCCCTTTCTGCTGCCTGAGCTCCTGCCCGAGCACCGAAGGCCAGGAAGCAGGTGCCTGTTCTCAGTGTCTGCCTGCCTCACCCGTGCCACTCGCCATCCTACCAGACTCCTTCGCTGCCTGCTCAGCAGTACATTTCTTTGCTCGCTCCTCTGAGTCTGCTGGATGCGGTGAGGCATTAGGGAGAAGCCAGCGCATTGTGTCCGGCTCGTGTGTTGCCTCTCCGCAGAGTGGGTCAGTTCATAGACGCTGCGCTCAGACGAGCGTGGTGTGTGTGTGTGATCAGGAGAATGGCTCGGGGTCAGGGTCCTTCCTTTACATGAAGGCATAAGCCGTAAGGATCTGAGATCTTAAACTGGTGAGAGGATAAATAATTAGTGGAGTGCTGAAGATAAAAGAGAGAAAATGGAAACACCAGGGTATGCAGTTAGAGACTGAGGGGATGGCGATGGACCGGAGGAGAGGAGGCCGGGAGGAGCTGCTCAGTGCCTTGACTGGAGCTCTTTGTGCACAGCTCAGTTCCTCCTGCTGCCCTGGGTGGGTTTTGTTAACTTCTGCTTTGAAATGAAATCACCTGCATTTGCTGGTGGGGTTAAGTGGCGGGAGGTGTGTTACATTTTTCAGAAGAGATGTCTCAGCTGTCTTTTTCTCTTTTCTTGCAGGCCTCGGTTGGCAGGCAGAGTCCGAGGGTGGTGCCGTACCCAGCCCACAGCCTGTGTCCTGGGGAGCCTGGCCTTCAGAGCGCAGCAGGTAGCCGGGGTTCCAGCATGGTTCTGTTTGTTGGTCTGGTTTCTAGAGGAAACAATGCTCCTGTCATCAGCCTGTCCCCTTCTCCTTCCAACATCTTCTGAACCTGTAGACTGATTCCTGTGCTGTTTGACAGAGGAGGAAAGTCTTAACGATGCCAAAGCTCCTGCGAGTGTCCATTTGCCTGTTCTTGCAAAAAGGGGCAATTATCCTCAAAAAGCCTCAGGTGGAGGAAAGGCTGCAGTTTGCATTCACGTGTTACGACACTAGTGAATCCAGTCAGGAGAGAGAGACAAATTCTCAGAAAACCTTCAGATTCAGCTTTGGGTTTGAATGTGCAGAGATGCAGGCTTTGCAGCTTAGCGCTCACAGAGTGACTTCTCTAGGTGGTGTGCCCCAGCCCCTCTCGCTCCTCTCTGCCTGATCTCCTCCTCTGGCCTGTTGCGGCTGCACGCACACAAGAGGGTCGTCCCATGCTTTGTTGCATCTGAGTGTTTGGCCCGGGGTGGTGCTAGTATCCAACTTCTCATCCCTGCAGTTGTGTCAATGGGCTCAGCGGATCATCGACTGAACCTCGCAGAGATCCTTTCACAGAACTATGGTATACGGGAGGAAAGGGAAGAAGAAGATGATACTCAGGAGAAGCAGAAATCTTTAGAAGAGCTGGAGAAGGGTTTCAGTGCCTCTCAGGTAAAGCCAGCAAGGGAGGGGAAGGGAAATTAACTGCTGGATTTTCTTGCGTGCTCTGATAGTTCTGGTACCAAAGATCTTTGTGAGAAGCTCTGACTTGGTCAGCTGTATTTAGGTCCACCCATCAGTGAGTCTCAGGTTTGAATTTGGATAGGAGGGAGTTGGTTGACAACCAAGGTGACAGGCATACATTCTGGAGTCTCCCTCTGCCGAGTAGCCCCTCTGATGAGGTGATCTTTGCTCACCGTGCTGGAGAGCTGTCAGCTGCTGGGTGTACGTGCCATGTCCGTTCCCCAGTGGAGGAACCACAAAGACGAGAGGACGTGGTCCTCCCGTGGGTGGTCCCACACAGAGCGTGTTCTTGGTGACGGAGACTGTCTCTTCAGGTCAGGCACAGGACTGATTGCCTCCTTCGCTCCCCAGCGTTACCGAGGCAGCTCAGAGCCCTCAAAAGAGCAGAGGTGCCTTGCCTGCCCCTGCACATCTCTGTGCTCGCTGCAGCTGGTGTTGTTCTTGGTGGTTGTTGCATTCCTGATGAAGCTTTGTCCTCCTCTTGCTCAGAGCAGTGAAATGCCATTTGAGGAGCTGCTTGCACTTTATGGCTATGAGGCGTCAGATCCCATCTCGGAGCAGGACAGTGAGAGCAATGACATCACTCCAACTCTCCCAGATATGACTCTGGATAAGGTGAGAGCTGCTCTCTGCTCAGGTGTGTGCGATTAGCCTGTGCTGTGGGTTGCTGTGCTGCCTTGGAGCTTGGGACGCCTGGGGGGTTTGACTAATGCCGGGGGAAGGGGCTTGCCTGGGTCTGATGTCCCGTGTTTGCTCTGGGTGGAACTCTACAGACAGGGCCGCTTGCTTGTCTTCTCTCTGGCTTCCATAACAAGCCACTCTTGGCCCTTGTAGAAGTGCTTCTACGAAAGATAATCTCGGGGTGGTGGGGAGCAGGTGAGAGAATCTGTCTTTGGAGAAGCTGTGGGAGGGTGAGGAGATCTGTGGATGTGGCCACCTTTGGCCAGAAGTGCTTTACTTTAGGCCTCACCCCCCCGCATGTATTTTTTTTTTTTTAATTAAAATATTTTTCACTTTCTTGTTGTTGTTAAAAGGAACAAATAGCGAAGGATTTGCTTTCAGGGGAAGAAGAGGAGGAGACACAGTCTTCAGCTGATGATCTGACTCCATCCGTCACATCCCACGATGCATCGGACCTGTTCCCAAACCAGCCTGGTTGTAGGTGTCCCTGATTTCTAAGGAATTGATTTTCTCTTAGATGTGGTGTGCGGAATAGGGCAACAGTGTTTTTCTTTGTTTTGTCACTAAGTTGCTGACATCAGGCTTTCTGATTTCCTTCTGGGTGCTGCAAATACACCTGAGTGCCGATGGTGTTACTGAGCATTGTTTAGGACGTGAGAGCGTGTACGGGAGCAGTGGGCTGAGGGGAAGGAGGCTGTAGCTCAGAACATTGGGGAAGTGAGAGCTGTTTGCTACTTGCTGTAATCACAGTCTGAAAGATCAGTGCCTGGTCTGACATCTCTAGAAGTGAATAAATTCGGTAGCACTCGTGGTGTGATATATTGTGGCAGTTCCTAAATATCGGAACACGCAGGAAGCCAAAGGGCATGAGAGAGACCCAGCATGAAGTGATCTTACTCCTTCTGCTGGCCTGCAAAACGAGGGAGCCCGAGCGCCCTGGGTTGGTCAGCACCAGCCGTGTGGCAAGCATGCAAATTCTTGTATTTAAAAGGAGAAAATTAAAATATGGGTAAGTTGTAACTGAGGAGTATGCTGAAACTAGCTGTAGGACAGAAAATGAAGGGAAGGAGAGGGAACACAGAGTAACAGAAAAAAACCCCAAACATGTAGTAATTACAAATCTTTTCCTTTCCCACAAAGCAAACAACTTCCTTGCTGATGAAGACAAAGAGCCCTGTTCATCTCCGTGTGCTTCCTCCATGGCTGAGGATTCAGAGGAGGATTCCATCCCACCCAACGAGTGTAAGAAGGTAAATGATCTCAGTGCTAATACAATGCGCCTGAGTCTGAGGAAAGCACAACAACAAAGTGCTGTGATACTTCCCCAAGAAGTTTTATTTCTTTTATTTTCTTTTGCTCAGCGTCTTGAGTTTTGTGGAAGGCACTGTCAGATATGGGTTACAAGAGGCTCCACGTTTCTTTATCTCAACCCTTAGCTGTCTGCCATCTATCTTTAACATTAAAACTACATAAATGCCTAAGGTCCCTGAAGTATCATCTGGCTGGTTTAGTTACCCTATAAAACAGCCAGGGTTCCCTAGAAGTAATAGTGACAGTGGGGACTACCATATATAAATCGCCCTTGTGGTGTTGTAGTCCCTAAATCACGAAGCGCACCTCGGTGCCTACGTGGAGCGTTTCTGTTTCAATTCACCCACCTCTCTGTGGTGATGTTTCAGGAGATCATGGTTGGACCCCAGTACCAAGCCACTGTTCCCATCCTCTACTTCAACAGGCACGGTGAGAAAGGTAAGGCGCCTGCTCAGTGTCCTGCCCGGCCGTCCGCAGGGGCCCTGGTTCTCCAGCCCTGCTGTATGGCTCTAGTACAGAGGGTGCTAATGTTTTTATCTGAATAGAGAAATCTCAGTACTTGTGATTATTTTTTATTGCAGTCTTTCTTCTTGCTTTCCTCTGTGCTGGTATTTTACTAAACATGGCTCTGCATTGCTGTGTGCCATGTTCTCATGGACTTAGAGCTGTGAAAGCCGAAAGGGGCAGGAATCCCTCAGCGATGCAGCGTGCTCCTGCTGTTCCGTGTGGCTGGAGCAGCTCATGGAGGAGCACTACGAGCTATCACAGAGGGGACAGCCTTGCAGCTGCTTAGTTTTGTGTCTGGGACGGGGGGAGGGTCTAGAGCCTGGGCCGGGGGTGTAGCTCAAAGCTGCCTTCGCCCCCCACTCCTTTTGTTTACTGTGTGCTGAACAGACACCTTAGAACCTACAATTTTTTAGTTGCCAGGATTAATAAATCAAAGCAACAATCTTTGAGAACATGGTAACAAAAACCTTGTCAACCAGCCCTTCTGAAGAAGCAGAAGCAAGCTGAGCCTGTGCTTAGGGCTCGAAAAGAGGTATAAAGAGTATGAAGCTTATCTGCCACAAAAATGGGGAGGGAAAGTGCAGTACCTTCACACAGATGGCTGTCATCTCTAGTGCCAGGCTGGAATGCCAAGCAAAGATTTCCTCCCTCCTCCTGTCTCTCCCATGCACATACACACCCTTTCTTAAAAGCAGCAGAATTCTCTGTTTGGTTGGCTTATTTCAGTACTTTTTCTGTTAGCCTACGAGAACGAGGACCAGCTGCTTTGGGACCCAAACGTACTGTCTGAGAGAGAGGTTGAAGAGTTCCTGTACCGTGCGGTGAAGCGGCGATGGGACGAGCTCTCTAGCAGCAGCCTGCCAGAGGGAGAGGTGGTGAAGGACAACGAACAGGTAAGCGTGGGGGCTCCTCGCAGCCCGCAGGTGCTCTGGTGGTGCTGGCGTAATGGTGCAGCATCTCCTACAGAGATCCTGAGCGAGGGATCCCCTTGAAAGAGAATGAGACCTGACCTCAGTGATCCTCTGCTCCTGCTTCGTGGATAAGTGAGGGCTGCTGCTTTGAATCCAGCACAGGATCAACCGTTTGGCTAAGAAACTTCAGAGGAGTTGTGTTTCCTCTAAGCTAGCCAGGTTAGATTCTCGCAGTAGGTCTGCAGGAACATGGAGGCACACCTGCAATCCGCAGAGCTGCTGGTAGAACTGCATCTTTTCAGCGACAGGGTTCGTAATCCAGTGCCTTGAAAAATGGAATAGTCTATGCTGACGGTCAAGCTGGGGTTAGTGGCAAAGTGGGTCCTGGGAAAAATAAGTTTTATGAAACAAATGTGAGTCATGAGCAGGTTGGTTTGTGGTGTGTTGCTCAGGTCCATGCTGTCAGTAATTTTCTCTGGTTTCCTAGGCTTTGTATGAACTGGTTAAATGCAACTTCAATGCAGAAGAGGCACTGCGGAGGTTACGGTTCAATGTGAAGGTTATCAGAGGTGAGAACCTCCCGTATTGCGTTCTGCCCCAAACATCGAGGCACGTGTAACTCTTTCTAGATTCTGGACATCTCCTCCAATTCCTCTTTCTGCTGTAGATGAGCTTTGTGCCTGGAGCGAGGAAGAATGTAGAAATTTTGAACATGGCTTCAGGGTCCATGGGAAGAACTTTCATCTTATCCAAGCGAACAAGGTAAGGACGCTCCCCCTGCACCCCGCTGGGAGAAGGGGAGGGAGGCACGTGCGCTTGCATCAGAGGTACGTGTTGAGCCTTGGCTAACGCAGGAAGTTCAGGACTGCTGAGTTCCCATCCCAGGCTTTGTGTTGACTCATGCTCGCAGGTGATGGGCTGTTCACTGCCCTGCTCTGCCTTATTTTGCAGGTGGGAGAAGTCACAACACTGACCTGCATGAGTGATGTCAGTTAATTACTGATTAGCCCTTTTCTGGAGTCTCAAAAGTTCTTTCCAAACTCTCAGCCCTTGCAGTACTTCTGTGAATGAGTGAGTTGAGCGTGTGGATGTTTTGTAAAGTCCCCTGGGGTCCTCTAGAATGAAAGGTGCTGTTGTAGGGAGAGCTGGGCCCCGGGACATAACGCTGCTGTGCTGCGAGTTGGCAGAACCAGAGAGTCCAGTTCTACTGCTGATTAATCGTGGGCATGTTGATGCTGGCCAGTGAAAATGGATGCAGGTTTGGTCTCTTGATGTTAAGCGTGCCACTGAAAGCGCAGGAAAGTCCTGCGCAGGTGTACGGTGTGTGAACCCACACCGGGGTCTGCAGGAACAATTGCACACTGTGGGGAGCTCTTTCTCTGGCCAATTACCGCCTTGGAAACCTCAGTACGTGCTTCTGTTCCGCAGCGCAGGTGTGTCCATAGCAATGTCAATTACAGCAATGCACTTAATGTTCTGTGCTGATTACATGGGAGAACAGTCGTTGCTCCGTGAGATGCAGCTTGATGCCGGGCGCTCTGACTGGGATGTTTCTCCTCAGGTCCGCACCCGGTCAGTGGGCGAGTGTGTGGAGTATTACTACATGTGGAAAAAATCAGAACGCTATGACTACTTCACTCAGCAGACTCGTTTAGGAAGGAAGAAGTACGTCTTCCACCCTGGAGCCACGTGCGTGGAATATTCTCACACTACAATTAGTAATATTAACCTCCCCGTGAAGATCCCTGCTGCAAAGCACCTCTGCTTAAAGGACGCACTTTCTGTTCTGGAAGGGTTCTTGGGTGGGGGCACGGAGGGCTACACTGATAGAACATGAACTTTGTTAGCCTGGGGAGAGAAGATAAAGCAATTATTTTCTTGGATGTGGACTTTCTTGTGTCAGAAAGTCCTGTTTTGTTTCAGACAAATGCATTCACAAAAGTTAAGGCTAGGGTCAGGGATTCAGGCCTGATCTGAGCTCAGGTTTTGGGAAGGTTTTTAAGTTAAAAATTCTCTATTTCTGGCATTTTGGAGCCTGAATTAACTTATTTCCCTGCTGCCACCCTTTGAGGCAAGTTCTTCACTTTGAAACATACACTAGTTACAGAAAATACTTTTCAGAAAGGTTTAAACTGAGAAGTTTGGAAAAGCCAAAATTAAATATTTAAGTTGAATCAATTAAAAGCATTAGATGAAGTCTTGGATTTTTTTTTTATTATTATTATTATTCTGATGCAAGACAGGAAAATACCTGAAATCTCAAATTCCCCCAGGGTGGGAAAGTGTTTTCTCATCACTCGGTCTCTGCTGGCACGCTAACATTGTCACAACCCGCTGCAGTCCCTGGGGAGAGCGTTTGACTGTTTATTTTGCTTTGGAAGGGGCTGAGGCTCACGGAGAGCTGGGGGCAGAGCTCTTGGTCTGGGGCAGCTCCAGAGCCTGCTCTGGTTTGTCCTGGGCTGGTCGTAGCCACTCTGGGCTAACTGCAGCCACCTCAGAGCAGAGGCTAGACTGGGCTCTGCAGACCAGTAAGGGATGGACACTGGCTCCAGGGCGGTCTTTGCAGTCCCGTTGCGTTATTTGTGCTGTCTGTCCTTCCCCACAGGGATTACACTGACAACGACTTGGACGGGGGTGAAGTGGAAAACACCAGTCGTTCCCGGAGCTCCCCCCCCATTCCCTCTGCAGCCAGCTGCCTGGATCCTCCCTTCGCTCAGGATCAGCTGGCAATCGAGAGCGCAGGTACCTTCCCTTTCTTCTGTCTGCGTGGGGATAACGCGTCTCCCTCCCTCAGCAGCACGGTCCCTCCTTTGCCGTTACCCGGCTGTTCTCTTCTCCCTGCGCCCTGCCAGCGTGCTCCCCGTGTCCTGGGTTAAACACGGTCTGGGGCGAGCAGAGGAGCCTCGTCTGTCTCTACGCTGACCAGGACTGACTTAGCAGGGGTTGTTCCTGCCCGGGGCTTGCAGGGGTGGCCTAAGTCGTTGCCAAAGCAAAAGGATTTGCACTCACTTTGGGCACCTGGGCTGGGGGTTTGCAGTGTGCTGACACCTGGGGCAACGGCAGCTCCTCCGGGGCCGGGGGGAGCAGCAGAATCGGGCTGGACCTGCGAGGGGGCTCCCAGGGGTTCATTCCCTCACATCCTCCCGCAGATGGGGGCTCTGCGCAGGCACCTCCCGGGGGCTGTTGGCATGAGGGGATAGGGCTTGGGATGTGGGGTATCTTGGGGTGTCTCTGTGAGACTTCCTCGAATTTCCATAGAAACAATGGTCTCCGGTCTGCTGCCTGCATCGTGCCTTTCTTCGGTACATGCTGGCAGGGGTCTGAGCTGCTGTAGTAAAAAATGTTTGTGCCATCAGACAAATACTGTTGTGATCAGGTGGGGTTGAACTGGATTCTTGTTTTTTGTGTGTTATGGACTCACTCTGTCTTTCTTTAACTCGCTGTCCCCCACCCTTTCTTCCTCTCCCACGTTTGCCTTGCGGAGCGCAGAGCCCCTGAGCGTGGAGAGCACAGCCTGCAGCCTGGGCAGCATGAGCGAGTCAGGGCAGGGCTACGAGTGCAGCACTCCTTCAGAGACAAATTGTTCCTTCGACCCCACGGAGGAGACGTCCTCAGGTGCCCTCTCGGCTTCCTGCACGCGACACACTGTCACCCCCTTGGAAACAGGGCTCTATGCTTTGCCGCCGGCAGGACCAGGACTAGCAGAGAAGCAGGAGACGTTGCAGAGCTCTGGTGAGACGATAACCATGGACTTCACTCTTCCTGCAGACATTAACGAGGGCTTGCCTCTAATTGCTGGCCCTGTGGATCTGGACAGAGACCCAGAGGCAGTGGTGGCCCCTGCGCAAGTGTCCTTATCGGTCACAGATTTTGGCCTCATTGGCATTGGAGATGTAAATAGTTTTCTGACTGCTCACCAGGCTTGCCCAGCGCCTGTGGCTCGGTCGGAGCCTTTGTCACAGTGAGAGTCTCCAGACAAACTTGTCACACACCCAGCAAGGACTTTGACCTGGCTGAGTGAAATCCTGGAACTTCCGCTGTTCGTAGGGACAGTTTGGAGCTGTTGGTCAGAATCCGTCTTTCCATCCTCCTTGATCCAAGGCTACAGTGAAACCAAACACCTTTTCTACTCCAGTGTGTCCTGACACCGTCACACAGCTGGTGGCCGGCTTTAGGGAGGGGGGAGGTCCGTTGCCCCCTGTTTCGTTGACCGTGTGTCACCGCAGGTAATTCCAGGCTGTTCGGAGAGTCCCTGCCCTCGGGACAGGGGAGCGCAGGGATGCTTTGAGAGCAGGGATGCGTCACTGGCGCTTCGGGGGCTGGGACAGAGGATGCAGTTGAGGCTGGGGAGCTGAGGAAACCCGCAGGGAGCACAGTCCTCCCGGGCTGCGAGGCGGTGTGCCTGCAGCGGCGGTCGTGGCGATGCCAAAGGAAGATGAGGAGCCTTGGCCCTTCACCCACACGCAGCGCGGTGCGATAGACGTCACTCTCCCTGGTCCCCTCCCGGCAGCCGCCCTGCGCACACGCGCCGCACATCGCGGCCTATCGTGCCCCTCCCGGCTGCGCGGGTCTCTGCCACCGGCTGCAGGGGGACGTGGCCTGGTCCAGCCCTCGGGCAGAAGCGCCGGGTGTTGGGAGGGGACACGGCATGGGGGGGGCCTGCTCGCCTTCCCCGGCAGTGCTGGGCTGCAGGACTTGTACTGGGAGCAAAGGGAGGTTCTGGAGGCACGGAGCGTGTTGGCCCTCGCCCTGTGCCGTGCTGCCGCGGCTCTTGCTGGCAGTGGATGGCTCGGTCCTTGCTGACGGTTGCCCTACAGGAGGGTGAAATGCGGATGGAAACGTCTGTAACTTCTCGTTCAGTTTGTCAGCTCTGGGAGGAGGAGGAAGAGGAGGAGGAGGAGGACGTTGCTCAGCTCCCAGGGCGCCAAGTCCAGGACACCGGT